TGACTTGTTTCGTGCCTCTGTAGTCATTATTTTTGCTAGCACTGTTTCGTGCTTGTTCCGTTTTTTACGATGCAAGCTTCAGTGAGCAACGTGCAGCTGTGAAATTTTGCTTTATAATTGGTAAAAATGCTGCTGAAACTGTTTTAATGTTGAAAAAAGCTTACAAAGATTATGGTATGGGAAAAAGTCAGGTGTACGGATAGTTTACTCGATTCAAAAATGGCGACATTTCGATTGATGACAAACCTCGCCCTGGACGTCCATCAACTGCTCGAATCGACGAAAATGTTGAAAAAATTCGAGAGCTTGTGCTATTTCTAGGATTTGTAGCATTTCCACCACGATGATGCACCTGCGCACACAGTCATCTCTGTTCGACAGTTTCTGGCTAAACATGGCATGGTTCCGCTGTCTCACGCACCTTATTCGCCTGACCTGGCTCCGTGCGACTTTTTCTTATTTCCTCGGAGACATTTCTAAGGAAGACTTCAAAAAATGTTTCGAGCAGTGGAAGCACCGGTGGGACAGTTGTATTGGACATTATTTTGAAGGAGATAAGGTTACCTTGTGAAAAAGTTGAAAATAGATAACTTTTAAAAAATAATTCCGTTTTTTTTTGGGTATGCATATTGCGGGTACCAATGCACTCTCATTTTGAATATTGGGCCCATTAAGTGTTTTATATAATAACCTCACCACTAACTAAAGTGAGGTAGGGTAGATACTGAACACGTTTGATTAAATAGACTTATACAATAGAACATTAGTGCTCTTTAAGCATACGTCACCGAAAACACTGAATAAATGTAGATAGCAATCTTTTTACTCACAACTGTGGAACTCACTTCCCTTTTACATACATCTTGTCTGTCTTTCATGAAAGTTTATTTCATATCAATGCATTTTTCTTACCATCATCAGATATCAAATACCATTTATTTCCAACAACGTGACTTTAAAATGCTTCAAGGAATCAATATACCATTAGGATAATGATGTTAACTTGATCCTATAGTGTTGCCTTGAGATAAAGCTATGATTATGCACACACCAGAGCTTAAAGCCATCTGCGATTGAATGGTCAGTGCCATGTGTCTGCCAAAGGTTCATTAAAATTGCACTGTGATGTATAAAAACAGAGAAGATATTTATGTTGACGATTGCCTATCAGGTCAATTTCCATTCCTCTTACGTTACTTTAATCACATTAATTAGAATATTGCAAAGAGCAAGGCATGCCTGATGCCTCGATAGATAATGGACCAGCATTTCTTTTAATCTTTGCGCCCCAAGATCATAGATACTCTGACGACAGATTACTCACCTCCATCAGCTTACCTGTTGGCGATTTTGCCATTGCGTAATTTCAGCAACCATTGCAGCGATTTCAATGGAAGGGATGTATTAGACAATGCAATAAACAAACTGATGGAAATAAGTAACCCGAATTTTCAAGATGAAGACACCCGAATTCATTAAATTTCCTATGCTTGCGCGTGCAGTAAAAAACATTTTGTTCACTTTAAAATGATATTCTTGTTCATAGATAATTTGTATGGAGTTACATCCAAGTGAGATAACTTTGTATGCTGACACGTGGACAGCTTATCTGTTGTGCGTAGCATGCCGCACAGACCTTTTGTTAGGAACTTTTAACTAAACATGATGCTTTCGTCAGACCGACCAAAAAGACAGCCAACAATGGACAGCCAGAATCATCGGCCATCTATCGGTCATGTTTCTGTGCTATTAAACGTGAACTGAGATCCCTAACAGTTCCAACTAATATTAATATTTTAACTCTCACTCCTTATACTTCGAGAACTTGAATTATTAGTTTAGCAGTTATAAGCAAAAATGCAATTATTTGACGTGAATTTTCTTGAAAGCTGTCGACCATATGGTAAACCTGTATAATGATGGATAATTTAATTCTGTACAAAACAGTCCTATCACCTGTATGTAAGACAGATCGTGTGAGAGAAAATTGACTAATCGCGTTTATCAAAATGACAGATAAAGCATCGGCCTTTTTCCGCTGCAAATGGGGTTTCGCAGCACTTTAGTATAGTTTGATGACCATATCAGCATCCCATCCATCCTGTACTTTGATTTATGCACTTGTAAGCACGGAGGATGAAACTGTAATCTTTGTATTGTGATGTTTCAAAAATTAACGCTCTACAATAAACCTTTTCCAAAACCCTTGCCAACCACAATCACTCCAAAAAAACACTCTTTTGGTGAATTGGGTCACTAAAAGTTCAATTCCCTTATTTCAAATGAAACTTAAGGATTCTTGAATACCATATTCGGAACCAGCACAGGGAAATATATGACACCAGATGTCTGTTTATGTGTGTATCAGTTTATGCTCTGTATTATGCTTTACCAGTAGCCATTTTATATCAACATGTAACGCATATTACCTGGATTATCCCATTATCTTATAAGTTAAGCACTAGGTATACTGTTACAAAACCGGAATTTCTTGCATAAATATAATTTTAATAATAACTGCATTAAGCATTATGTCTATCACATTTTAATTGCTGGAGACGGAATAAAAATCTAATGAAATCTAGTACCTACATTACAATACACTTGCTTCAAACCTAGAGACCCGCCCATTATGGTTATGGAAAATACAACGTGAACGTTATGTCGTAAGGTATTTTTATATTGACAAATCATACCTTCGAAACACCGGCTTCTAGTACAATTATTATTTATGCAGTGCAATTTCAAAATAAAATGTTTTGTCAGAAACATTTATGCGCTAATAGGGCTTTTCATGAAAACAAATCTACAGATTGCAGCAATGAGGTTAGGTAGACGGTAGACTTGTTTATTTGCAGCTTTGGTATAAAAATGTTTGTTATCAATATTTGATAAACACCCTGGATACTACCCTCGAAATCCAATAATTCATTAAATTACACTCCAGGCATAACGGTTATATGGGGTTGTCCAAAACGGACGCAGGAAAGTAAACGCATATTAAAACAAGAAAGATTGATATTCAAATCAAGTTGGGTACTTTATTTTGAAGGTTCATTTATACCATTTATGTATGAAAAATAATATCGCTCAAATGTTCACCACGACTGGATTTACAGACGTCCACGCGATGGTCGAAATTTTCAATGACATTTTGCAACATGGTCGGTTCTATGGCATTTATCTCGGCAATGATGTTGTTTTTGAGTTCTTGGAGGGAGGCTGGATTGTTGACGTAGACTTTGCTTTTCAAATATCCCCATAAAAAGAAGTCCAAGGGAGTCAAATCGCACGATCTTGGTGGCCATGGCACATTTCCTCTGCGCGAAATCACGCGATCACCGAAGAAGGACTGCAATCGATGGATATTGACGTTGGTTGTGTGGCATGTTGCACCGTCTTGTTGGAAATAAACATCGTCCATATCCATTCCTTCAAGTTGCGGCCAAAAAGAGTCCTCTATCATCACGTGATATCGCTCAGAATTGACGGTAACGGCGTACCCGGCCGCATTTTCGAAAAAGTAAGATCCGATGATGCCTTTTGACCACAATGCACACCACACAGTCACTTTTTGAGGATGCATCGGCTGCTCTTGATACTCACGGGGATTTTCGTTCGCCCAGATGCGGCAGTTTTGCTTGTTTACCGTCCCATTCAAAGTGAAATGCGCTTCGTCGCTGAACATGATTTTTGATGAAAAATTGGCATCAATTTGGCGGTGTTCAAGGAGCCAATCTGAGAACGTTCGGCGCGAAAAATGGTCGGCCCGACGCAGCTCTTGCGTCAATTGGATCTTGTAGGCGTGTACATTCAAATCCTTGTGGAGAATGCGGAGCAAACTGGTTCTCGAAATGCCCAATTCTTGGGATCGACGCGTTGTTTATTGTTTCGGATCGTCTCTCACACTCTCCTTCAAAACAGCAATATTTTCCGGTGTGCGAACACTCCTTGGCCGGCCAGAGCCTGGCAGATTTGCCACAGAACCTGTTGCCTCGAATTTACGCACCAGACGACCGATGGTTGTTTTGTTTGGGCGGTTGTTGCGACCGAAATGTTCACGAAGCGCGCGAAACGTGTTTTTTATTTTTGCCTACCATTTTTGTAGTGCTCTTGAATAACTTTAATGCGGTATTCAATCGAATACGACTCCATAGCGATCAATGGTAAACATTCAACTAACAAAATGACATGTCGGTGACAGAAAACAAAGATGGCGTCTATGTCAAATTGACGTTTACTTTCCTGCGTCCCTATTGGACAACCCTATATATATAGGGTGTAAACGTTATGGTAGTCATTATTGAAATGGGTAATAGGGGAGGTCATAACAAGTCAAAAAGTTCATATGACCCCTAAGGCTTTTCCGTCCTTGGAATAGTGGTAATCTTGTGCGTTAGTTTCATCAAAATCCGCGCTAACTTCTATCATCTAAAAAAGCCAAGGATTAGCGGACAGACACAAACAGGCAGACAGACAAACTGGCGGAAACGACTAACATAGGTTTTCGGGAACGTCCAAAGAAACATATTCCAATATCGTATTTTTCCCCATTACAATACCCCTTGCCATGGGAAGTAAAAGACTAAAATATATTTTTCGTACCATCCACGTGATTTTATACGTACATACAACAGCACACTTTTGGGGCATATGACTCCCAATCCAAAATCAGCTCAAAGGAACTGAAGTGGTTAAAATTTCAAGTTCCATTTCACTCAATAATAAAACTCAAAACTTACTAACTAATTTTACGTATCTTACAATTTTTAAGTTTCGGTTTAGTCAAAAACTTAATACTTACTTGAAATAACTTAAAGTGTTAACCAATTTTATAAATTTAGAATCAGAATTTATGGAGCTACACGAACTGGTACGCATTAAACTTAGTCAATATATAATGACAGCTATCGAGCATTCAATGCTTTGATTTAATGCAAGGAATATTCTTTTATTTGATTCCTTTTTCGTCGTTGCTGATCGATGTTTCCATTTTTCAGATTAAACAAATGATCATGTTGGAACTAACAAGAAAACTGGAATTCCTATATCCTACCTACGTTCTAGCCATTGTATCCATTGGATATATTTGTGGAGAATTAGGACACTATCTCATAGGAGTAACCAGTAAAGCTGTTGCACAAGATTTACATTATGGAGATATTTCCTGTCAGCTTAACTTAACAGATGTAAGTAACGGTTTTGGTAATAGTACTGTTTTATGGTCAGGATCGTTGAATATATCTATTTCTAATTCTCTTTCATATTTTGTGAGGTGGGTGGACCATGTTCCTTATGAGACAAGTTAAATCTACTCACACATCCATTGAAAATAGTCGCTCTAATCGTTATTTTTGTCAATTCTTTGTTGAGATCGTCGTTAACGTTAAAATGTAAGTTTTCAAGTAAATGAGCTTTTTCTTTCTTTATTTTTTTTAATTGTAGATTTCTAACGCAAGATTTTGGGCTTACATAAGAAAGCCGTTTTGCTTTTTAATCGAAATTACAAAGATTACGAGTATTGGCAAAATTTGATATCGATATAAAACTAATTAGAATTATTTTGAAAATGCTTTGTACTGTCAGTGTTTAACATTGCATTTTAATAAAAGATTCTTATATGTAGTTTGAGTAATGTGCGCAGATATTTTGATCACATCGTTAGTTTAAAGTTAAGCGTCTGAACAATTATATTGGTCCGGTATGGATCTTTGTTCCTTGCAAGACCTTTCGGAAGAGTAAAAGCTTAAATTAAATCAATAATAATCAATTCTGCAGCAAAGAAAAATATTTTGTAAGTTGATGATGGAACAAAGTATGCCTTAATAACTCATTTGTTTAATTTATCCAGTAAACAAAGGAATAATCACTGGCTATTTGCTAGCATACCGTCCATGGTATGCCGACTTTAGTCCTGCTTGCTGGTGTACTAGGTACCTACTAGAGAAGAATACCGTATGTCATTGACATATGTTCACTTTATCATTATATGTTATCTCAATTTAATTATGTGCTTGAGTGGTTTTGTTCTTCTCGAATAACTCCCAAGATGAAGTTTTTAGTAATTGGTATTTACATGTTTGGGAACGATTGCTAAATCGGTCCAGAGAACATGAAAATCTTATTCGAATACAGAATTAGACTATAAGAAAATGTAAACTGAGTCTTATCCGTAACAGATATAAGTGAAAATGTACTAAACTGAAAAAGTCGAAAAAAGAAGCTATTGTGTTTTTGCAGTAACAATGAAAAAGCGTGGTCATTTAGACAGCTTTTCTGAAAAAATTTCATTATCCGTAATGAATTTCTTAACTATTCTAAGTAACTAAACTTTAATTAAACTGAATTTTCTAGAACCAGTTTAATTCGAAATTGCAAACCAGATACCTGTTTTTATTAAATTTGTATAATTCGCTTAGATACTTTAGTTTAAGTAGAGAAGGTGCATTTAAAACAATTAAACATTTTATAAAAACATTTGAATCGAGGACCCAGTCCTTCATTCGTGAGTAGTCGGGAGTATATCGGTGACTCGCTTCGAACACCTCAGTTTCATTGGTGATTTCCGTGGCGAGCTTCATATTCAAATGTTGCTGTTGTTGGTGAAGTAGCTGTGAAGTTGATCGATTACTGTGACCAGGTGACATTATTTTCATATACTTATAGTTCAAAGATAAAAGTATGTCGCGTAAATGGTGTATCCTCATTAATGCAATATGTACTTTGATTAAACGTTGTGATGGATTCAGTGTGTATGATGTACTCGTATAACGTATATATACGAAGTCTAGCCCCCAGTTCGTCCAGGTTTTGTAGTAGATGTTTGAAAATATCCTAAGCTTGTTTAAAGTGATGTCGATTTTTTATATATGCAAACGCGTTGAATGCGTGTGAATGCAACATTGTTTTACTATTGGAAATAAAAGTACAATTTTTGTACTCGTGACAAAGATTCAGTTTCATGTTTTTTGTTCACTATTTTCTAAATTGAAAACAAGGAATTGCTTCTAGTGAATGGTGATATATTACAAACTATTTCAATAGATAATTGGTAAAACTTGGTCCCAAGAATGGGGAGTTCACAATTAATGAAGATGAAAATATCGAATTTTGTTAGGGGTCACAAAATTTGGAAGCTTCTATTTTGATTTGAAAATATCAATTATCAATATCCAGTTTTGCAATTTTTTTGATATCTTAGATTTATCCGAGCACTTTTATAATAAAATATTTCAGGATATTGCAATTTGTTGTTCTAAAATGTTATTTAAATATTCTTTTAAATGTAAATAAGATTTCATTAAACATAGGCAAACACTTTTACCTTCACTAATAAACAAATTTAATAAATAATCAAATTGGTTTATTTGGAGTAGGTAAACTCATTGGGATAGTTCATTAATTTTAAATAAATTGGTGTATTCAATCTAAGTAAGCGGCTTAGTACATTTAATTAAAGGATTGCGTTTTGATTCAATTATACTAGTTTCAGAGATTCAAGTAAACTGTTTTTGAAATCGCAGTTTAATTAAACAAATTAAACTTGTTAGCTATCAAATAAGTTATTAAACCTTTTAATTGCAGTAATTAAAATGTTGATTGGTGTGATTATTTTTTCCAGTAAATATGACGAAATACGGGACTATCTTTTTTGCTTTAAGACCCATTTTTCATTTGCAGGTATACCTCAGTGATTTACCAATACAATGCAACACAGCAAACGACTCAGAGACTTGTAGTAGTTATACATTGAATGGTACTCGGTACTGTGAGTGGACTTACAATGGACTTGGCTTGGATTATCAGATACTTGCAGGACCAAGTTTTATAGCCGTTTTCACTATTGCCGGAATTGTCATGGGCCTACTAGCTGATAAGTTTAACAGGTACTAAGTTTATTTGGAAAAAGCTTCTAAAAGAGGAATTATATTGAACAAGGCAACGTTAAATTGGGTTTGTAGCTCAGTGTTTCCTGTCGGTCGGCCTGATAGGTAGGTAAGGTGTATGGATTGTAATACAAGTAAAATAAATAATACATTTTTAAAAACAAGCTTTTATTTAGATGTTAAGGCAAACTAAAAATTTAAAAGCATTTTTTCCGATTGAAAATATGCCGTCTTATACTTCTTAATTTCCAAACAAGCTTTTTTACCTCAAGATTTCAAATAAAAGTGGCACACCCTTTTTCCCTCTTATTAAAATTTAACATGCATTTTTTATTTATTTCTTACTCGTAAGTATGTATAATGTCAATTCAATCAGGTTTAGCAATATCTACCTAATTAAAATATATTTTAGTGACAGAGCGTGTTAAAGTATTTTACTTCATTTGTATTACATGATTTCGATTCATACTTATATATAAGTGTCATTGTTCAGCTGGTTGAAGAAATGAAGGGTACCGATGTTTTAGCAAACTATCTAATGTTAAAAAGTCAAAGTTGATATAGACAACGATTTATTTTACATAATAGTCGGTTAACTCAAAGATCAGACCCTACGACCATAGTATTTGTTGAGAAGACTCAAACGAGCCCCAGTTAGATGGGGTTGAGTCGATTTACTACAGTTCCCATGTCCACCTTCCGGCCCCAAGTCATAATAATATTGCATTATCATATCAGACGCTCGCGATATTGGATTTAGGATCGTTGCTTTAATTATTGTGCCAACCTCATGAAACATCTTCATTCGTTACCCACTAGGGGCTACTGTAGTAAAGACAAATCACTATTGTGCGGCGGCCGCCATATTGGATTTAGATTGATGTTTCTTTGATTAATATGTCTCCCTCATCAAGACCTTTCAATTGATACTAGTATCAATATATAAATTATGATACGTCATTTTGCGGCAGCCGCCCCGTTGGATTTACAGTGACGTCACCTTGCATTGGATTTTTTTAATCCAGATATTCGTTTGATACCCATATTATAGGGATAACCATGGTAATAATAAATCACCATTTGCGGGGGCCGCTTAACTGAATTTCGGGTGATGTCAATTTACTTTTTGTGTATCTCTTATCGAGTCCTTTCATTTGATACTCATATCATAGGGGATACTGTATAAATGATAAATCGGCATTTTGTAGCATCCGCCATATTGAAATCAAAATGGCGGCATTCAATTCATTTTGTATTTTTACGCCAACCAAACCTGTATATAAAATTTAAAGTCAATTGGTTAAGGTTAAGTAGTTCAAAATTCAGTTTCAAGATTTGTCGCACACTTACAGGTTGTCTAACATACTAACAGGTTAAGTTAAATAGTAGCTTATAAAAAACGTTGTTTCACTAAAATTACTCGTGCTTCGTTGAAATGTCAATATTATCGACTTAAGGGAAGATTTATTAATTTTTATTCCCTCTCATTTAGAGTGAAGATGTTAGGGGCTTGCACTCTCGTTTTTGGAGTAGCAATCATCCTGAGTGGGTCGGTCAACGAATACTGGCAACTAGTCATTTTAAGAATGATCATGGCAGCTGGAGAATCTGGCTGCAATCCTCTTTCCACTGGCATACTGTCAGATATATTTCCCGAAGAGAAGAGAGCCCTAGTCATGTCAGTCTTCAACTGGGGAATATATGGCGGTTACGGTAAGATATTTGTTACAGCTTCCTCTATGAATCTGTAGCTATACTAACTGACATAAAAAAAGAATACCCAATAATAATGAATTCATTATAACAATTTCTTGTATACATGTCTCACATTTCAGGAAAACTCTGATGTCGAAACAATGTAAAAATAAATAATTTGTTTGGTTTGGGATGTCTCATGCACACAGAAACACGTCTGAGTATATTCATAATAGATGATCTATTTTCTCTTAAGGTATCTCATATCTGAAGTGCCACTGCAGCACGTGGATGATGAAGTAAACAGAGTAGCATACTTTTCATAATGTTCCAGACGTGTCCAACGGGTGAAAGATCGGGAGATCTAGGGACCAAGGCAACAAATCGTGACTGTCTTCAAAATAGGCCAACGTAATTCTGGCCATATGTGGTCGCGCATTATCTTGTTCGAAAAGTGGGTTGATGAGCATCCGTATATAAGGCAAACCATGTGGTTCTCTCACCTCTTGGGTGTATCGCAACACGGTGATGATGTCTCTGATGAATACCAAAGCTGATCCGCTTTCATAAGCAATTTCCTCCGATGCCGTAACTCCAATAGTGAGGTGTATGTGCGTTTCGATTGAAAATTCAGGATCCTCATCATCTTCTTATCCCTGCACGACCTTCATGCATCTCCAAACAGAATCTGGATTCATCACTAGACAATGGTATGACATTCGAGGTCCCAGTTCAGCCGTATTCTGCACCAAGCCAGTCGATCACTTCGATTACTAAGAATGAGAGGGTAGGAAAAACTGAGGATGACAAGAAGTAAGTGCAAAACTGATGATCGCGCGATAATCAATTTGCATTGTAATAGGCTCTCCATGCCCTCCAAATCATTCGTCCACAATTGACCTTGTGGACGAGACGCGGTCCCGTATGGCCAAACGCCTAAGGTGGCAATCCTAGTGTGGGGCCCTCCTTCTAGCATGCTTAGTACCTTCCTTCCGCCTTCCTGATTCCATGACCGGCAATAAACCACTACCGTACTAAGCCGGTGGTTATTTCTCCAGAGGACCAACTAGCCTCCCACAAGCCCACTATTCACCACCTATCAAAATGGCTAAGCTATTGAAAGTTTTCTTATCTTCTCACTCTAGGCATAATAAACAGGTTGAAGCAGTTCTTCACAACACATTGTATGATGATCAAATGCCCAATGTAGCTCCAAAATACAAGTATCGCTTACCTTTTGGTAAGAACAGACGATACCGCAAAAAACACATTATTGATATGCCTGGAAAGCTGATCGTTTTTTGTAGTATCCTACATAAAAATATGCCTAAAAATTCTTTGTAATAAATGCATTATTACTGGTTGTTTATTTTTCTATGTCACTTAGTATATGATTGTTGATTTTTTTTTTGTTTCTCCTTAGCTTTTCTTTCTCTACTATTCAAATTCAGGGAAATTTGTATCGTTATAATAGTAGGTGCCACATTTTTGGCCAAAAGACATTATCGCCGACTTAAATTTACCGCATTTGCGGGAGGCTGGGGATTGGCAACCGTATCTAAACGATTTTCTTATAAATGTTATGAAATCTAAGCCTAAGTGCAGTCAAAACGTTTTCATTGCTATTCAACTATTTGGTTTTTAATAAGCCATCCGCTAGATAGGATGGCTTGTAAGGTATATTGGTCTATTAAAAATGTTGCTATAATAAGCTTGACCTTCAACCCATGGATTCGCTAATCTATAAGACGTAAGAAAATGTCTTTGCTATATCGTGGTGTAGTGAACAAAACCTATGTTAAATTCATTCTATAAGAAAAAACAATGTAAGTTAATAACGAGAGCTTTATCATGTAATAGCTCTATGTATTTTATGCATTTACATTAGTTATAATTACACCACAAAGATGTATTTACATGAAGAGTAAAAAAGTATTCCTATGTATAAAAAAGGGTATTGTGTTCCTCACCTTGGTTGAAATCTGAACAGAAAAACAAATGAGGTGTAAATATTCAGCTCGTCGACATTGAAATCTCCGAGGAAGTCTCGCGTAATACAAATGTGTTGTTTATATTACTATATTATGTAGAACGCAAAAAATATATCTACATTACTGTGAGACAAAAACATGAACAATTCGATTTTGAGTGTAAGATCATTGCTCGTAAGCTTTTTTGACCATACTCAGTGCGGTGCTATGGAAGTTGACAAATCATTCGCTTGTACTATCTTTCATGTCGTTTATCTATAGAAGGTGGTCTGTAATGAATGTGCCAAAAAGCAGCCCTAGAATTGTAGAAGTAATGGAATGAAATCAATCCAAATATGCCTTAATAGTAGGGGAGACTAATACGGGATTTCTCAATTTACTCAAGCATGGCAGAAAAACAAAAATTGGGATCCTGTTGAGTATCTTTATTATATATAAGCCATTTATTCAGAAACACGTCTAGGGCAACCGATCAGAACAGCAAAAAAATCGATCTTTAGAAATCCTCATACTTCATACCTCTAACATCGTAAATACCTGGCGGATCCCCTCACAATTAAAAGGGTATATGCACATCATATAACCTTATTGTCTTGCAGCCATCTAGTCTTCAAAACCCAATAGGTCCCTAGGAGGCTCAAGTAACTCTACATTAGCTCCTTGAGCTCCCTACTATTATTAAAAATTTTGAACTTTAAAAAAGGAGAATGTGTTTCTATTTTTTTAAGCATAACACTTAGGATGCACTAATAACATCCTATACTTTCACTATTTGATGCCATAACTTCATTAAAGGTACCATCCATCATTCGTTGTTGGTAATTTTTCGATTTTTGATTACTCTGTCGAGTAGCCAGATCACCGCTCAGATATAACGACATTGGTATTGATATTGTTAAGTATTTACACCCACACTGAAACGAGCGACATTTTACTAATTCGTAGTTGGTTCAATATCATCACTTTCACGAGTTGTATCTAGCATTGCTTTTTGGTGCATACATAGACTGGTAGCTACCATGATGTAGTTTTTCATTTGGAAATGTTCACTACCTTCATTTTGCTATGTGGTTTTACAAGGACTTCCTTTGACAAGCGCCCACCAGTACAGTAGACGAGTTGCAATTATTTTAGTATGTATGAAATATACTAAGTGACATATAAATCCGAACACCCAGTTTAAATGGTTTTATTTTAATAAAATTTTGTATAAGTACTTAACACGTTGACTGCCGTAATACTAAAAAAAAATCGGTCCCTGGGGCCACCTTTTTTTTTTCTTCCAAATACTAGTTTTAGTATACTAGAACACCCGCGCGTGTTTTGTGTTCCCAAAAAAAAACTCTTTTTCACGTTTCTTGATGAGACCCACCGCATGGTCACGCGGCCTCAACATATGAAGTTTTACCCAATGGCCGCGTGCAACAAATGTTGTGTCTCACCGACTTGTATCGACCTGTCGACCGGTGCGAGCCGAACAATGTATTAGAAGCGAATGCTATCAGTGATGTCTCAGTCTAGTTTATGCGGTGTTCATCAGATGTTTTCCAGTCTTCCTAAGAAGCTATAAAACTTGTGTAGAGGCTCAATCTTCATCCCAAAAAGTAGTGCTCACTCTTGCAAAGGACTTGTTTGACAAGGGACGGACATACGGACAATTATTATACAAGTATCGAGTTGGCAAGTGCATTACTTGCAAGGAACACTCACTTGGTTGGGACTCTCCGATCCAATCGAAAAATGAATCCTAAACAAGTTGTTGATAAAAAGCTCAAAAAAGGAGAAACTGGGGCAGCTGAAAGCAACTCAGGTATAATTATCCAGAAGTGGAAGGACAAAAGAGATGTGCTTACCTTATCCACAAAACACACCGATGAGTTACTAATCATCAGATCTGGCAATAATATAGAATTGCAAAAACCTGTTGCTGTGGTTGACTACAACAAACATAAAGCCTATATTGACTTGTCGGATCAAATGAAGTCTTATGCCACCTCATTACGCAGAGGGGTGAAGTGGTACCGCAAGCTGGCCATTGAGCTTCTTATTGGTAGTGCATTAGTAAATGCACATGTTTTGCACCAAGAAGTAGCCAACGAAAAAATGTCCATCACAAAATTCAAGCAGGAAATCGTAAACAGACTCTTAGGCTTTGACGTTGATCAGCATACGCATAGTATTTTTGAAGATCATCAACATTCTTTGGAAGATGTTGGTACCAACAACCGACGTCGATGCGCTTTTTGTTATGAAAAACTTCAAAGAGAATCTGGGCGAGCACATGCTCAAAGAAAAACTCCGCGAACAAAACTAAAGTGCACGTCATGTGAAAAATATTTTTGCATTGAGTGTTTTTATTATACATTTTCATGTTTTTTGTTCTATATTTATGAGAAATATATTTTTTGTTGTATTCTACTTCATAAGGAGGTTCCTTTTTGAATACCTTTCGTTTTATTATCTACGTATATATCAGGCCATGAGTAACCACTTATAGGTCACGGATCCAAAAACCAAAAACAGTTTTAGACATTTACAGCCGTGATCTTTCAGTCCCATATTACTTATATAGGACTGAGACAACCACCCAGGCTCACACGGCTATATTACAGAATTTCTGACGAGACAACTAAGGTGTGTCACTCGGCTGTTATCGAAAACAACCTGAGACGCCACATTTGTGTCTCACGGCAGCCAACGTGTTAATGAAGCATAATAAGTAAATGATAAAAATTTCAAAATGATTGCACTGCTTTAAAGCCCTTTGACCTTTAATAATGTGTGGATGCACCCTCATTCCAGGCAACCACCAACTCCTCTCGAAGTGCTTCTAGAGTCTGAGGAGGACCTTGCAAATTGAGCAATCTCCTACCCATCATATCCCACACGTGCTCAATTGGGGATAAGTCGGGAAATCTTGGTGGCCATGGTAACAATGTGACATCATTATGTTGAAAGAAGTCTATTGTGACTCTTGCAACATGTGGTCGGGCATTATCTTGTTGGAAAGTTGGATCTGCCAGGGTGTCAAGATAGGGTAAAAGATGGGGTTCTAAAACTTCGTGGATATAACGCTGCGCGTTCATGTTATCTCTGATGAAGATTAAAGGTGACCTGGAACCATAAGCTATAGCACCCCAAACCATAACTCCAACAGTGTGATGAACATGTCTTTCAACAAAAAACTGTGGATTCCTCCTTTCACCACGTCGCCTTCTAACCCTGGCACGACCATCGTGCATGCCTAAACAAAATCGAGACTCGTCACTAAAGACAATACTGTTCCATTCCTGATCCCAGAGTGACCGTTGTCTGCACCACTCAAGGCGATTACGTCGGTGTTCTCGAGTTAAAGGGAGGACCCAGTGTGGCCGGTATGAAAACAAGCCAAAACTTCTCATTCGTCGGTAAACAGTTCGCATGCCAATAGGTCTTCCGTGTTCTGCAAACCATTCATTTGCAATGGACCTGGTAGTGGAGAAACGGTCCCTTAAGGCCAATAATCTTGAGCGGCGATCTTCACGGTCTGTTGTTCTACGGCGGCGTCCAGTGCCCCTTGCTCTTTGCATACGGCCTTCTCGAAGCCATGCCTGACAACACCTAAGCACAGTGTCTACACTTCTTTGCACTCTAACTGCAATTGCCCGAAAAGATAGTCCAGCTTCCCGAAGTCCCACTATATGGCCCCTATCAAACTCACTAAGTTGACGAAATCGTACAGGTCTCCGTACTCTAGGCATCGTAACCGATCGTAAAGGATGTCAAGAACAAAAATCCGCCAACGTTGATTCTTTACTGCGGCTGAAATATTCATTTTTAGAGCGTTAGTGAATTAAAAAAAAGCAGTATAAAAACCGGAATGCCCAACTGATAAGGCTGAAAATTTTTTCACTTGTTATTTACAGTAAGATAAATAAATTCACCAACTTTTATTAAAATAAAACCATTTAAACTGGGTGTTCGGATTTATATGTCACTTAGTATACGAATAAATAAGCATTTAAAGCTGGGCTGATACCTTGAAAGTCCTTTAATGCAGTAATTGCTCATCTACATGGAGACATGACAAGATAACAATCCTAAAGATTAATAAGTGCAAACAGTTTGTTTAAAAATATTGGACCTAAAGCGTAACTATTCGCAAATACAAATATAATGGGAGTGTTTGCCGAGTCAGCATTTTGTGCTGATTTCAAAATTATGGTGGATGCTCTTCTTAAAAACCGTGGACGTCCTTACTTTTAAAAGGTTTTCAGAATTGATCGTGAGTCGCCACCGTCTTCATCCACGCTAAAATGCAACTTCAGGGCTCTTTCGACGTGATTTGATGTTGTTGAAAGATCCTTTGTATGCTTGAATGAATCGTGCCCTATCTTAATCTACAGGCGTAACTATTAATGTAAAAGAATTTCCCACCTTCCAAGACAGAAGACTACGGGACGACCTCATCATCACCTTTAGAGCTCTGTATAAGTTTCTGAGCTGATTTGGCGCACCTGTTCCGTATATCTATCTAATAATCTTAGAGTTGCAGCAAGAGCCGTTTAGGACTTCTACGGGTCAATTATTTTTAACAAACTGTGTTTCTATTATAATATTGACTACTCCTATTTATATTGTTACAGTAAACACTCTTGTATGTTTGAGCTTCTGGTACTTTGCCAATACAAATTTACTTAATTTTAATAATGATAAATTTACTTCAGATAATTTGCTGTTGATTGGATTATTTATTTCAAATACCAATGCCACCACTACCTTGATATCCCAAGAAAATGGGGAAATACCAATCTTTGTCGAAAAACATGTACAGTTTTCTAAGCTCATATCAAGGACGTCTAAAAATAATAAAATTATTTTGTTTATCATATTATATTGGTTTATTACTGTTCGGAACAGGTGTTTTCATAGATACACAAGTTTCTCTACAGGGTTGATTTTTGGAATGAGGGAGTGTGTAGTTCTCTTACGTTACAGGAAGCTATATTCCTGAATATTGATAACATAGTCGCTAAAATTAACATTGCGATGAAACATCTAATGCTAGGAAGAACTTAGGAACATATTATTTTGCTGAAAAAACTTGTGCGACATATGTCAACAGCTGTCAAAATATAGGAAAATTTTTCATGAAACTCATAACTTGCGTCCTTGAATCGACATTTTCATTCGACAAAATCTCGCGAAGTTACACTATGTGTTCGATATTATTTCACCGTTCGACAAAGATGCAAATGTCAAAGCTGGGGTATGAAAATACTTACTTTTTTATTGATCACCTTCTTCAATACTCGTCTTGAAATCAAATAACTTAACATAGTGGCAAACGATGACAAGAATCACAAATAAAATTCCAGTGTCGCAACCGAGAACACCTCGCACGCGAGACTGGAGAACGCCCCCTCCCCTTGACCGCTTAAGAAACCGATAGTTGTAATCTGGGTACGATCGACAAGTTGTAATAGCTACTATGGGTACATTTTTTCTTTTAAGATCACCCATGTTGCTGTCAGCAGATTGTTTTTACCATTTAAGTCTATACTTGGGTCTATTCTCTTACGTGGGATAGGAAATAATATAAAATATGATCTCAAAAGTGTGTTTTTAGAATATAATTGAGTGCATTTTTTCTAGGTATCGCCTTCCCAGTTGGCAGATACGTCCCCAAGATCAATGCCTTCGGTCTAGGATGGCGGATCACCTATTTCGGTGCAGGAGTAGTCGCAGTCATTTTGGCTGCCCTGACATGGTTCACCTTGCGCGAACCACAGAGGACTTCCATTGGAGAAGACGCGGTTGTGTCCAAGGACGATCCCAAAGCTGCTAAAAAGACAACCATATGGGACGTGATCGTAGATCCCAGAGTGATACTGCTGTGTCTGGCTGCATCAATCCGGCATTGCGGAGGAATGTGTTTCGCGTACAACTGCGATCTATATTACCAACAGTATTTTCCGGATTATGACCTAGGTCAGTAATAATCTAAAGAAAAACCTACATAATGTCGTAAGAAATCGATATAATGTAACTTCCTAAGTTACATAATATGGGTGTCGGTAATCTTACACACCTATTAGATATGTTCCACACATCATAGATTTCTCTGTATATTTGCCCTTAAAACTTAAACTTATTATAGAAGTACGTGTAGCGTATCGGACACGCGGCAAGTTAACGAACTTATACCCGTGTGCGTGCACAAAACCCTGTGTGTGGGGGGTCTGACGTTTGACCGCTGGCTGGCTAGCGAGGCTTAGCCATGTTGCCAGATGATCGGTACTGTCCGTTGTGTGGGGGAGAAATTTCAAGAACGCAGCGGTCTCAAATGAGTGGGGACTATCGACTAATTGCATCATAGCTAGCTTTTTTCTCACAAGGGTTAACTTGTGATTCACATAAACCTCTTTGATCTGATAACAACGTTCTGTTGAGAGTGCAAAGTCAGTTATGTTTCATTAATCGATATGCTTCATTAAAAATAATTGTTTAAGTAAGTCGGCAATCCGAATTACATTTTAAACCTCGATGAATAATTTAATAATATATAGCATAGTAATTAGTTTATATCCCACACGATGATGTCCATGGAAAAATTAAGTCATCTAGACTGGCAGATATAGTTAGTCTCAACACTGTATTCAGAGTATTGATATTTTTTCATACTTTGTTTAAAATAATGTCGAATTTATTTATATATGTAAATTCGTTGGATCAGGATGAGTGGCGATATCAGTAATAGTTTATTGTTGTAAAGTATCCTCCCGACAAGTATTTCAGTGCGGACCTGTATTTGATCGTGAGGTCCCCTGTGAGGTCTTAAGTCACCTGATTCACGAGCCCGTTGTACTACATTACATTACACGAGGGGTTGGTTGCACTCGATTGGGAAACCGATCCGCATAAACATGTGCCATTTTTTATTTCGTTTGAGCCACGCAACAGACACTATTCACACGCGACTGACATTGACTGTATGTAAATTGTACAAACATCGTTCCAAATTCTTTCGCTTTTTTGTTTCCGATGCGATGAACCGGTAAGGCGGATTATATCCGTTGTTGCCAAACACGAGCACATGATATTGAGACAGGGCGGTACTCAAACTTCCAAAGGGCTATAACTCTGTTACTTTAATTTTACCAGAAAAATGGTAGAGGAAAAAACATTTCTTTTGATCAGATCTACTCACTGTTAAAATAAATGACTCAACTTCGAAGTCACCCTGTATATTATATTGTTTTGTTATTAGAAATATAAGTACAATTTTTGTATTATAATCTGTTTCTTTACGATCAGACAAATAAATTTGGTAAAACTTGATCCCATATATAATCAGTACACTATCGATGAAATCGAAAAAAGGATCAAAGTTTCTTAGGGTTATAAAATTCGGCAGCTATTATTCTGATTCGAAGGCATCAAATATCAATATCAAGTTTTAAAATTTTTTTGATATCTAAGATTTGTCAGAGCATAGTTATAATATACATCATTCAGTGAAATGCAACAAATTAAATAAATTTAATGAGTATAATCAAATGTCTTCACTTGGAGCAGGTGAACTCTACTATTTTCATAGTTCATTAATTTTAAATAAATTGGTGTACTAAGTCTAAGTAAACGGTTTAATAAATTTAGTTAAACGATTGCGTTTTGGTTTAATTAAACTAGCTACAATAATTCAAGGAATCTGCTTTAGAACTCGAAGTTCAATTAAACTAATTGAACTTGTTAGCTGACACATGATTAATAGGATTTTTTAATTGGCATAACTAAAATTTTTACTGGTAGAAATAATTTTTGTTATCAGTGCACCTTGTATGATGGGAAGTTCGGAAGAGCCTTTTGCATTATTTTTTAGTTAGGTATATGATATTCTATTAAGTATTGATTATAATGTTTTCGAAACTCTTCTCTATTTTGTAGGGTGGTGGTTGTTCGCTGTGACGATAGTGATCGGCTCAATAGGAGTAGTGGCAGGAGGTGTACTGTCTGACAGAATCGTAGCAAAAATGGGAGTACGATCAAGATGTGTTGTATTAGCAATCAGCCAAATCATAGCTACACCATTTGCATTTGGAAGTGTATATTTCGCACCTACCTGGGCTATCACCACATTGGGAATATCCTACTTTTTCGGTAAGTGCCCATCAGTTATGGTTTAGTTTAGTTTACCCAAAAGTGTTTGAGTCACAGACTCATGACTCAAAAGTGGTTTGAGTTTGGCTCTTGGGATTGGAAAAATAGGATCTATCGACGGTACAAACGTGAGCAAACAGTTTCAACAACGTTAAGTATTTACGTACGGATACGGTTTACGATAAAATGATTCGGTTTGGTTAAAATATAAACGAACAATTGGATAGAATGAATTTTTATAGCAAAACACGGGGCTAACTCATTCCCTTATTTTTCCAGCTGAAATGTGGTTTGGTATTCTCTTCGCTATGTTGGTGGAGATTGTCCCTCTGCATGTGAGAAGCACAACAGTTGGAGTATTCTTATTCGTAATGAACAACATTGGCGGAAATCTACCAATTGCAGTAGAGCCAGTATCGAAAAGCATCGGATACCGAGAAAGCTTATGGATTTTCTATGCAGCTGCATACGGATTCAGTAAGTATTTTTCAGCTTTTGGGTTCGTAAATTCATTAATATAACAGGTGTAAGAGAAACACGGAGAAAACTTCTCAAATATACTAAATAGCTCGAATCGCCTCGAATCTTCAAACTACATCCACTATGGTGCTTGTAAGTTTTTAATAGAAATATACGAAGATCGCTGGGCAGAACGACGAGGACCGGTCGTATGGCCTTGCCGAATGTCCGGCGGGCTCGAACAGGAAACTACACATTTGATTTTCGATGTTAAATGTTTCTTAAGAAAAGAAAGAATGAAATAGCGAAACAATCACCACTTGATTTCATCCCTCCTGCTTTAGAAAGACTGTATATGCGCACAAAATGGATGGTTATCTTGCACAAAAGAGCATACATTCATGAATAAACTTTTTAGACTCACTTAAAGATGTTATAGTAATTATATTTTATAGGTTCGATCTTATTCCTCCTAACTACATTCCTAATGGAGGGCCCACCACCAAAGCAAGAAGCCCCCAGCGTGAAACACCTGAGCGGTCATGATAATGTTACATTTTCCGGAGATGAGCCATCACTGCCAACGATAACTGAATTGGTCAGGAATTCAAAGAGAATGGAGAACAAGATCAGTAGCAGGCTTTAAAGTGAAACCGTTAAACATTCAAAAAAATGCGAAATCCATTGAAATATTCTGGATTCAGCACCATGTAGATACGCCCATTTCAAATGAAGAGCCACACACTTAAGTCGAACAAAAGTTGAGATTCTGGGTTTTGCAGGCGACGTTATGCATAATGACCAAGTCGAATTAGAGAAGGATTGAGATGTCGTGCAATGGGTAGCTTATTCAAAGTTCAACCTGTGAGACTATCAGACCGAATATTCTTACTTCATAAATGACCAGTCTCGCGCTGCACAGCGGATCTCTCTAAGGCTAGAGCCTGTGTGGCGTCATCCAATTTTCCCCTGTATCGCCATGTAGCCCTACGGTACCCATGGCCTTCGTGGTGGTTTAATTATAAAAAAAACATTTAGCTACCCATTCAATCACAATAACTACGTAAATCTACCCCTAATATCGACTTGGCTATGATTGCATCGCATCTTGTACCTGCGTCACTCTGATCTTAATTGAACATTATTTACTACACGTATTTATTGTGAGGGTAATCAAAAAGATGTGTTATGCAAGTACCTCATCCAGTGTATATGCACCATTTTTTTTTAAGTTGGAAGGCTTGTAGCTGTATCCCGACTTCAAAGAGATCTAATTCTGACATGACTGTGATAATGAGATTAGCGTATTATATTTAGATACGATATAGTCCCTTCTGTGGATAATTATAGTACCTATGTCACAATATAATATTTAAGCTACTATTTTTGTATACGTGTGTCGATATCTAAATTGTACCAAGTGGGTATTCACCTTATCGGATACATTGCGCTTATACAAGTGGGCGATACCTTGTGAGATGTCGCTTTTATAACCTACTTTGAAATATCTACAAATGCAGCATATTCATACCACCACGATCCGCATAGTGTGGCCAAATGTGGTACTACCACCACCAATGATTCTCCAATCCAGAAATTTTATGGTGAAGAGATGGATATAATTATGTTGCAGTTATCGATGATCTTTTTTATAAAAGATAGCCTGTGTTTTTACTGATCATGCGGAGTTTCTTTTAGAATTATAGTTTTTATCCTACTGCAATATACCACATTTCATTTTAGAAGCAAGGCACAATACATACCTACGATGTTTCTGAGTCACTTTTGCTGTAGCAGTTTGACGCTATCTAAGCAGGTACAATAAATATTTTTAAAAACTGTTCTTTTGTTTTCTTTTGTTCTCCTCTCACCCCTGGTGTTATATTCCATTGATATGAATTGGGTCTTCATGACATGGAAATTGGGGGGGGGAGATCTCACTTGATTTTTACAACTGTCAGCTGATTTGTTCAAAAGCGTACGTCGCTCAACAAAATTGCCTCGAGATTTAAAAGTTCTTATAGTTTCTATAATTTATAACCTTATGAGATACAGTGTGTAGGAACTAAAACCTTAAACATTTAAATACCCTACAATGGGCTCGGGGGTATTACCAGTTCAATTGAGCATTTGCAATAACTACTGGGTGTTTATTGATCTTTATGACATTATATGCTGAATTTTAAATGTAAAAACTGGTTTAATGGAAAAAAATATATAATATCAGCATACATTACTGGGTTTTACGAATATAATACTTCTGTTTGCGCATAGATAACAATTACAGTGTATTTAGTTGACTTTACTATTTTTTTCATTCTGCCATATTGGTTTGCTTAATTTGTTCAAGTATCTGATGGGTAACATGCAGCAAAGCAACTTTTCATATATTATTTCAAAGGTAGATGCCATCATTTTTGTTTCTTATCATAAATTTATTTTGTTACGCCACTGTGAACTGCAGATAGACAACTCGCTATTCAAAGATCTGCTTTGCTGGTTACCTGTGCATGTTCATGATTCATGATACTGTCATTTTGTCATAGTGTGAGCTGTGAGGTTATCTTGTTGTGATTAGGATGAAAATAAACATTCTTTGGGCATACTCAAAAATATGTATGCTATCTTATTGTAGGTTTTGGTCATCTAATATATGGTAACTTGTCACAATGAATGAACAGGAATACTACAAACAGCTTGTGTCAGATGCGTGAGTATTTAAAACATTGGGGAGATGGATATGTGTACAGTGAGATTTTATTTTTCAATTCTTTCTTTTAGCGAAGTAATAAACGCACTTCTCAAGGAGGGTGAAGCTTTAAATTATTGCGGTCCAGTTAAAAAGCCTAGAGCTAGACCTAACTTGAATTTCATTCAACGAACAGTCTCGAATGTTGTATCTTCCAACCAAAGGTAAGCAAAAACTGTTTTTCTGGATTTTACTAATCCTTGTATTCGTATTATGGTTAAACACAAACCAGACGTCAATTTAAAAACAAACTATAAGTAGTTTGAACAAAGCATGCTGTGAAGTGCAAATCATAATAGCAAGCAGAAAGCAAACAGATTCAGATAAACATCATAATCTACCTATATTATACATTCATTTCTGAAGTTCACATTTAAACATAACCAATGCATTGTTTTAGGAAAATCTCAGAGATAGATAAGAGAATTGAGACAGAAAAAAAGAAAAACTCACACTACAAGGGAAAAAAACAACCAGAAACTTGTTATGTACGTACAAAAGATAAGTGGAGTGAAGAAGAGATACTTGCTCACAAGAGAGCAATGCTAGCATGTAAAATAAGTTTTGTCAGGGCCCTTGAAGGTATATCTGCGCCAGAGAAAGTAGGCCTTTTTGACAAACCTTCCCTTCCTAAGAAGCATGTACCAAGAAAGAAAAATCAGGAACATAGAACAAACCCAAAGAGATCAGGCTCAGAGAGTTCCTCATCAAGTGTTATTATATGTGATAATCTGTCAGATGTGGGAACAAATGAATCATGTTCCAGTGTAGAATTGAATGGAAATGCAAAGAAAAACAGATCTAGAGAAGGCTCAAAGTCAAGTTCCTCATGTTACAGTAGTGATTTGGATGCAAAAGATATCCCTAATAAACAAACACAAAGACCTTCAAAGTCGAGAAGTTCATCTTCTAGCAGTAGCTACAGTGATAGAACTCGTTCAAGACACTCTAGGTCAAAGTCTATGTCATTGTGTAATGGTTCAGCTGTCAGAGAAGATAAGTCAAGAAAATGCTTTAAAAGGAGTAGAAAAAAACGTGAGAGCAGTTCTGCCTCTAACACTGATGATTCTGATCCAAAAAAAGATAGTAGTGGAACTGTGTTTAGTTCTCTTTTGGTATCTAATTCATCTATTAGCAAAAGTAGTAGTACTGTAATATGTATATCAGACTCTGATATGGAATCATACACCCCTCCAAGATATTCCAAGGATCGCAAGAGACACTCAAGTATGGATCTAACAAATAAGAGGAAATATGTTGATAAAAAATGCAAAAGGCGTTGTTGGAGGAAGAAACACAAAAGGCATAGTGTGAGTTCAAGTTCCACAGATGATGAAGTAGTAGATCAAAAGTGCATTGATAAGAAATGGAAAAAATGTTGCAAAAGAAAGAAACTAAGAAGGCATAGCACAACGCACAATGAGGATGATTCTAATGTAGCTATAGTTATTATAGATGAATGAATTAAATTGTTGTGATAGCAAAGCCATGAAAATTCAGAGGAAAAGGTTGTACTGTTTTGAAATGCATCTTTGTAATAATACAAATGCTGAACTGATTATTAGTGTGGTGACCTATTCTGTTGTTACCGTATTGGCACCCAGGGCCTATGTCCAGAGACCCTGCTTGCTAGCAAATGCTAAAAATAAAAAATTCTGGCTACCTCCATCATCTTCAATTTTTTCCATCTGCAAAACCGGGCCAAGGTTGTCACTCAGGCCTGGGGTCCTTCAGTTGCAGACCCATGTTTTTTGTGTGCCCAGTAGCTCCTACATAGCTTAACACTGCCTTAATGGTGACTCTTAAATGAATAATAATCTTATTTTTGATAATAGCTTGTATTTTCTTTATCTGTCAAAGTGGTTTCATTAGTTAGAAAGAGGGCCTTATTTTAAGTGCTATATTTCTAAGATTTCAGCTGTAGCAAATTGCTGGTTCACTTTCATTGATGTTTTGTAAATTTTTTTGACATCTTTCACATAATTATTTTTGATGCTTTAGTTAATTTCATAAACAAGTATAAAGACTTACACTTCAATAAAAGTAAACACAGCAGCAGACTTTCTCTTCTACATTTTCATGTTTATTTAATTTTTGATTTTTGTCCTTATTTAATTCTTTTTTTGACGACTTTATTGAGTTTAATTTAGTAAATTAAATATGCACACCTCAGACAGAGTATGTTCCCATAGACTGCATTATATTTTATTCGACACACAGTAGAAACTAATCATAAAATTAAGAATTAACATATGTTTTTTGGTTTCACAGGCGGTGTTTATATTCTATAATTTCAGCAGTTTCTAAAACACCCATATGAATTATTATAGCACATATTTGGTAACACGTTGACGAAAAATTCTTTTGTGAAACCTTTACGTAATTAATATGAGAAACTGCTGGAAAATATAGTTTTTTATTTGAATACTGCTGAATTTAATGAGGGATAAGGGCTATCACACACCAGGGTCGGCAGGGGGGAGAGTATTTGGAGAAGGATTGCCCTCCTGGTAGCATAGGGAAGGGAAAAGTTCCCCCTGATTCCACGAACCAACCATTGGCGTATCCAGGAAAAATTTATAGAGGGACGCAGATTGCACAAAAGGTATTAACCTCATCATGACGGTTCTATAAGCTTGATAGTTTACATGAAATTGTAATTAGAACTAAAAAACTTGCCCCAAAATTAGTAAAATAAAGTCGCTGCCAACAATCTGATTTATAAGATTTAGTTAATAACGAGAAATGTTGCCCCACGTTTACCAGTTACTTGGGCCCGTATCGTCAGTCGTCCCTACAATTGTAGGGCGCCTTTATGGCCTCCTTGATTGTCATAGTTTTCTACTTCTCCGTGTCAGCGCTCTATTTTGAGGTTATGTCACAAACATCTATTTGCAACAAATTGTGCTTGATTTTGAGTTATATCATGTTTTATCAGCCTGAAATTTCCTTCAATTTAAAAAGAAAACATATCACAATAGGAGAGCGCTGACGCTGACACGGGACAAGTGTAATCCAGAAATTTTTGAAGGAGTGAAAGCAGTATGACAATCAAGGAGGCCATAAACGCGCCCTACAATTGTAGGGACGACTGACGATACGGGCCTAAGTCATTGAATATGCTCTAGAGGTTTCAGATATTTCCATAAATTCCACATTCATACTTTCTGGATAAGATTAAAATATTTTCTATTTTTTCAAATTCCAAGCTCGTTTGTTTCGCCACGAATAATATTGCTATATCTCTTACAGCCTGTGAAATGGCGGGTCAAGAATATATTGTTAGAAAGCTGAGTCCCTCATCTGAAAAAAGTCTCTTTCAAACTTTTATTGGATTATACGATATTGTTCAAAAGTTATTTATGTCTGTAACTCGGAAATAAAGCAATACTTCGAAAATCGTCAAACGAGAGCATCGAAATTTCTAAAGCATACATTTTGTCTGCTCTGGCGCCTTTTGTCTCACATAGATCTTAGCCCCCCCTCCCCTACGCCACGGGACCTCCACGCGCTCAGTCTCATAGGTTGCCCTCTAAACGCAGATGAAAACAGACTAGTTCATCTGGCATGAAACACCGTTATGGAAAGGAATTATAGTCGCCTGATAATGGATTTGTTTGGATAAGACATACACGCATGGTCATGGTAACAGAGTTACCTTGACTAAATGACAAGAATATTACACCATAGATCTTCTGAATGTGCATCTAATTTACCTATCTTCCTCACTAGTTATAGCGCCAATTACCAGAATTCTGATGTTTCCAAGTATAAATACGTCGTCAAAGAAAGGTCAATTTCCTTGTTAACCATCATTTATCACATCTATCAATTACTTCTTAGTTTGTCCTCAAGATACCAAGACATTTTAATAATTTCGGAGAATGTCTAGCAAAACATATCTAATGGGAGGCGTTCACCTCTAGTTAGAATTTCATATGAGTCAGAGGGCTAGCAGTGTAAACAAGTGCTATCTGCAGCATCTTATAACGAGTAACATACAATGTTCATGAAATGAGATATAAATGATAATTTTACCATAATTATTATCGTAAAGGATTTGATGTATCCTATAGTAAGGTTTGAATGTATCACCCGTTAATAATGAATCCTTTAATGCTATGAGACACCTCAAAACTAGTGCAAATAATAGGACTGGAGAGATGTACATCAAGAAGGATTCTTCTTACGACAACGAACACTAATGAAAAAGCGAGTGAAGTATGTTGACACTGCACTTCTCCCGCAACGCTGTTATCACTTCATAAAGGACTATGTTCTGCTCAAGTAAGCCCCTCTGAGAAATAAGTTTAGAAACATGTATACGTATAACAAAATGGATCAAATCAGTTAATCAGGTCCATACAATTATTCCCCAGTCCGCACCCAGTTGACAAAGTTGCGATCTAGAAATTTCTCCCTGACTTACCTACAATACCAACCATTGGGCAACATTGCTATGACTAATTTCACCAGCAACCCCTCTATCAAACCCAAACACGGGTATATCTAAATCCGGTGCAATGTGTGTGTTGAAAATATTTCTCTGGAGAATGTATGGGGAAATCTATGATGTGTGAAAGTTTTTTATCAGATTAATGGGATTACCGAGGGTAGTACCATATAAATGTACTAACGCCAAAAAATTTGGATATACCCATACATCCAATTTTCAACCACTACAATTTTTTTCTGAAAATGATCACGATCCTCTGAGACATCAAAAAAGAAGTTTAATTGGTTTTTACTTTTTTGACCCCGTGTTTGATTCCGTGTTGATACTTCTTTTAAATGACTATAGATAAAAAAGTAGTACTAGCCTAAAGTAGGAAATATAAAATGTAGCTCACTCCCACATTCACTCATTTATAACTTTTAAATAGCTAAAAATAGTTTCGACAGGAAGAATCTTTCGATAAAAGAAAACGCACTCTTAATCACCAGATACTTAAGTGAAATTTATAACACCCCTTGTTCTTGCATCCTCTTCTACTGCGATATTGTACAGTATGGCCTACGCCTTGCGCTAGCTCTTAAAATCCCAGGCTTTAGAAACCAGCCCATTACTCTATTAGGTCATTTTTCCATATAAGCAACTGTTTACTTATGCTATGCCCTCATGTTCACCTTAATACGGCAGACAAAGCTGATTTGTGAAATTAGCTTTCATATAGCATTTTACACAACAAGAATCTATCATTTGAATTACTGGAAATAAGAAGAAAAAGATTTTGATAAAAACAGAAAAGTAAAAAAGGAGTTCGGCCCTAGATTTTTGAACCGCCTGTCTAGTTTTACGTTACTCCTAGCATTGATCAATGTTATAGTGCAAAATTTGAACAAAATCGGTTCAGTATTGCCCGAGATATGCGATATTAAAGTATTGCCATGCTTAGATAAATCACCCTGTCTATTTGTAAAAACTGAATATAAAACTTTTTATTTTCGGATATGAAAAGGTTTCGGTCAATATCAACGAATTCCAATATATTAGAAGGAACCACCAAGCCTATATGTTTACATTACATTTGACTCATTTGTCTAGCAATGCCTACCAAAGTACCAGCATTGTATCAACATAATAACAATAATGATACTTACCGGTGGAAACATCTACCTTCATTAGGCATTTGCCCCTCCTTACAAATTATGTAAGAAGGATCATGTCTTGAAATCGACTAACACCGCTGTTATCTGCAAGCATGAGAATTTTATGACCGAACTAACAACCTGACTTATGTCTAGTGCACTTTTATATTCACTACAGACTATGTGAATTAGGAGACACACAAAACCTTCTACCTAGCCTGAATTCGTTGGCCCATACTACCTACTATTTAACTATGTCCATTTAAGTATGGAACATCCTGTATGCTCAGGAGAAAACTTGCGGGCATATTCTCGCTGTCATATTTCAGTCTTACATCCACAGACGATGTTCACTTTAGATGTAATGAAACAAATATTTGAAAAACGTAGGAGCATGTAATTTTGCCGAAAGGAGATGCAATCACAAATTAATCCCCGAAAACCGGAACCTAAAACTAATGTGAACCTTGGGGGTCGAATAAAAGTTTAATACCAAAGCCATACGGTATGGAGATCAAACATGTGTGTATGGTCGTTGTTAGCTCTACAGATGAACTCTTATATCATTAACGTCGTAATGTATACGAGAGAGAATAGCGAGAAGCGTGCAATACGTATGTTAGAAACAGATGGAAACACCACGTTCCCTAGCAACCCGAGTAACGAGGCCACGGACCAAGCTGCAGTCTACCTCGTTACCGTCAGCGTAGCAAGAGGCTGCCCTCGGGGCGGAGTTCTGTCACCCCTACTGTGGTGCCTCGTGGTGAACGAACTCCTCGTTAGGCTCAGTGTGGGTGTCTACGTGCAAGCCTATGCTGACGACTTAAGCTCAGTAGTTAGGGGGTGCTTTTGTAGAACAGTCTTTGAAATTATGCAGGGCGCTCTGTGGAATCGTGGTGCAGGGTAGTCGATCTTTCTGTTAATGCTGGAAAGACCGAGCTGATTCTATTCACTAGGAGAAGAAGGCTTGACGGGCTGGTCTTGCCGACCTTCTTTGGGACTAGATTAGTCCTATCCCAATCAGTAAAATATCTGGGAATTATCCTGGATTGCAAACTGAACTGGAGAGAGCATGTTGAATACAAGGTTAACAAGGCTCGGAATCCAGTGTGGGCCTGTAGACGTGCTGTCGGTGTAAGGTGGGGGCTTAAACCCAAAGTGGTATACTGGCTCTACACGACGATAGTACAAGCGCAGTGCGCACAACGCCATTGAGGGCACTGGAAGCCCTGTTGGATCTCCCACCGTTGGATCTGGTGATCCGTGGTGAAGCGAGAGTAGTCGCTCATCGACTGTGGAGTCAGGGCAGCTGGGCCTTTTTTTATACCCAAACTACCACGAAGTCCTAAGGCCTAACCACCCATTGGGTACCGGGGAGCTATAGGGGGATACATTGGAAAGGGGAAAGGTCACACAGACTCTGGCGCGGGAACACGTGTGCATGCAACATGCACACATTCTGGCTCCGCCTACGAGATCCGCCGGGTGGTACCTCCGCGTTCGGCAGTCAGAGACCGTCTACCATTCCTGTCAAGGGGCATACTGCCATCTTAGTCGAATTGCAGGGGTGATCGTATCACCCCTAAATATCGCATCAACTGCAAGCTTAATGTGGAGTATCCAACGAGGTAGGAGTGGGACGCCGGTAGCGGGGACTCTCCGGAATGAGCGAGCAGGTCTGGTACACGGAGGGCTCAGGTGCTGGGGTCTCTGGGCCTAGAACTAGGCTATCTCTGCCTCTCGGTGGATGCACCACTATTTTCCAGGTGGAAATCTTTGCGATTCTGGCTTGTGTAGCTCGCATTCTGGAGGAGGGTGGGCCTAGGAGAAGAATAACAATCTTATCCGACAGCCAGGCTGGTTTAGGAGTGCCCCGCATAGAGTTATGAGGAAAATGGAGACGTGGATTGCAAGAAAACACTCTCAGAAATGGAGAAGTATCTCCTGACACCTCCGCCGGGCACGAGAACTCATTGAAGGGCCCAGTGCTAAGGATGGACGTTTCTGCTTATCTCTGGATAAAGCCAATCTAAGGTTGCTGGTGGGACTTTTGTCTGGCCACAACACGTTACTGGGGTCCATTACCTTGGACCCTCAGGACGTCATGGACCTTGGAACTCAAGGCGATAGACGTGCATGGTGGCTGGAATATCTCTAATTTCACGATTCATTCATTCATTCACCTCGTTGCCATCGGCGCACTCTTTATAACATACGTATTGCACACCTCGTGCTTGTCTCTTGTACACATTACC